TTCTATTTTAACAAGAATTCAAGCATTTTCAAGGACAGGTTTTATGAGCCCACATATCTGTGGAGTGCCTTTCTCATGGCGGCTTTACCTGTAATTAATCACTGTGCTTCCCCAATAGTGGCGATTTTGTTGTTAAGGTAATAGCAAGGGTGTCACAAGGGCCTCCAAAGCAGGACTAACAGCTCCCAATAAGCAACCTTTAAGATCAGTATTCCCTTTGGTTTCTCCTCCCTTTTTCAAAGAGGACAGATCTTCATTGAGGACCTGATACACGCAAAGCATTTCAGGATGGGGGCTAAATAGCTGAAAATGATTCACAACCTTTCAAGTTTTCAGCAGTCATTCAGTAGGAGAGACTGTAGAATGGTAAAATTATAATTTGAGATCTATAAATAGCAAGTTATTCTAAGAGAATGTGTGACTTCCCAACAGGTCAAATATGAAGGCTATCATTCCTTTTTGTTTTCAGTGAAGAAAGTCCTTCACAATATCAGAGATCTTTTTGTTATTGCAGTTCATAAAGTCAGCGTTGTTTTACTGTACAGAATATTTTTAACATTCAAAGTTCTTTTACTGTCATTAGGTTTCATAACAGCTGCTTAAGGGAAGAGAGTATTTCCTTTTCTTCAGGAAAAATGAAGCCCAAAGGAGTAGTGGGATTTACTGTCATGATACAGGTTAGTGCCAAAGCTGGAAGTAGAACTCAAGCCTTTTGACACTTCTCAAAGTTTAATCTGCAGACACATCACCTAGGAGATCTGTGAAAATGCAGATTCAGATTCACTGGGCCTTAGCTCAGGCAGGAAATGCTGCATTACTGACTGGGTTCCAGGTTACTGCTGGCCTGGACAATATTCCAAGTAGCCTAACAGGTTGGGCATTAAATTCCACTGGTTGGCTTTCCCTGTGTGTACTTGGCAACATAAAAGGATTATCATGCCATGTTTAGCAAAAGAAATGTTTCCCACCTCAAAAAAATATTTTAATTCTGTTCTCAAGAGAAAACAAATGACCTTAAGATTTGGGGATGGATTTCAGTCTATGTGATACCTTCCTTCTGCACATAATCCACTGGAATTAGCAGGCAGAGCAGGTTGTGCACCAGTGACCAGGACCGAAGCTAGGTGAAAGCATACTTGGATACTCCCGGCTGTCTTACCTTTATGACTTGGCTGTATTGGAAGTTATAATGTCTCAATCCCAGATGCATTTGCTCTGTGAATTTGCAGCTGTGCATCTTTTGGTAGTCCACAAATCAAACAGAAAAACAGTGCCTTTGCAGTTTACTCTGGTCTTGAGACACTCATAGGTGCCAAGAGCTCAGTGTTCTGTGTTTTGCGTGTTCTGTGTGGCTCAGTGGGTGGCATTTCCCCAAAAAGGCCCAGGGAGTCTCCTTTGCCCAATGTACGAAATCTGGTTTGTAACCACACATCCAAAATGCTCGTCAGCATAGTGCGGTTTTGCTGTGAGAAATCTGTGTGAGGAAGAGCTATCTCTTCCGAGAGGCTAGATCTGATATGGGGTACATCCATGGGTTTGCATAGGTCTAGCATGGAGAAGGAGCACCCATGTGGCATCCTTGTCCCTTCCAGTACTCTGGGATGGAGCTGAGGGAGACAGAAACTGACAACCCACAGGCACCTTCTTTAAAAGCATAACCGCTTGACTCTTATAACCAGACTGCTTGGTGAGGTACTTGCTTTCTTCGATAAAATGACCTTTGGCTTTCTCTTTGACGCCAGGATGGCTCTAAATATGACTGACTGAAGGACAAATATCACACTGTTGCTGTATTTCCAATTATCAAGCACATCCTGGGTTAGTTTCAAGGGAAGAAAATCTGAATTGTGCTGAGCTTAGATATTAATCAGAGCATTAGGTTGGAAGTGTGGGGGCAAGTGTGCTAACAGGGCTGGAGGATAGAAGATACATTTCTTATGTACCATTAGGTACTCATTGCTTTTTCACTGTATCATTCAATTCATATGTTAAGTTCTTACTAGGCGTGTAAAGCTTCATACTAGCCATGGGGGTAGTGCGAGTAAAAGAAAAAAGAAGAAAGAAAGAAAACAAGAAAGAAAGGAAGAAAGAAAGAAAGAAAGAAGGGAGGGAGGGAGGAAAGAGAGAGAGAAAGAAAGAAAGAAAGAAAGAAAGAAAGAAAGAAAGAAAGAAAGAAAGAAAGAAAGGAAGGAAGAAAGAAAGAAAGAAAGAGCGAGTGAGCTTAAGGCTCTGATCTTTAAGGATTCTGTACCTGAACAGAGAATCTAAGAAACAAAACTAATAAGCATGGCAACAATCAGTGCTAAGTGGCCCAGAGTCATCAATCTTCAAAAACAGTGCTTCTGACTCCCATGGCAAAAGAAACTTTTTTTTTTTGGTACCAGGGATCGAACTCAGGTCCTTGAGCTTGAGATGCAGGCGGTAGAACCACTAAGCTAAATCCCCGGCCCAAGAGAAACATTTAAAGGGAAGTGAAATTACAGCACTACCTGAAAAGACAGTATTGTAATGTAGGGGTAATAAGCAAAAACACTTGAAAATTACAAGGTCTCTGAAAAATGTAGGAATGGACAGTTCTATACAGCAAAGCTGAAAAGAGTTACTCCATTCTAAAGTCAGTGGAGAGCCACTGAAGTTTAGTAATCTTCAGATTTCAATCCTAAGGGCAACACTTGGGGCTTTCTGAGATTAATACATAATCTTTTAAGGTAAAAAGAGACATTTGAAAAAAATAATTCCTTGGCAGTCCCCATACTAAAGAGCTAGTTTGGTTCTTACATATCCAATTTTCTAATCTTTGCTCTGCCACTGGTTCTTGGTATTGAGAAAGATAACTTCTCTAGGCCACAATTTCCTCAAATGTAAACTAAAGGGGTAAATCAAGACAATTTCTAAAATTTTTAAATAAATTATTCCACTTTTAAATTAATTCTCATGCTGTTTGACTTTCCCTGTAGCAGAAAAGAAAAACTTGTTACTAGCCCGCTTAAATGATATTGAAATGTTTTAATTATTTAAATTTACGGATTTGTTCCATCTGCAACCCAAAGTAGAAATCTACTCAGTGGGGAAAAGAAATCATGCAGTTTATTCACAGCCTTTGTTATAAAAAGTATCTATGGAAAATAGATGATTGCTTCTTGGATTATCTATTATTTAAGTAATTTTATAATAATTTCTCACCATCATAGATTAAAAATTATAAAGCAAAATACAATTGTAGCAAAATAGCTTTTAGCAAAATGTACTCTTCAATGTCACAATAGTAATATTACTAATTTGACCTTTGGATTTTTCTATCACAAGAAACATCATGAGGTTAAATTCATTTTAAAAAATAATTGCATCCATAGAAGGACAAATTGATTTTTCTTTAAATTGACAATTTTAAAAAATTTGGGTCTGGAGATTTAGCTCAGTGGTTCTGGCGCCTGCCTCACAAGTGCAAAGTCCGAAGTTCCATCCTCGGTACAAAAAAAAAAAAGTAATAAAAAAATTTAAAATCTTTTCTAAAAGCAGAAACAAAATGCTCATGAAAATGTGTTGTGTGAAAGTTTTGCAATCATTTCTGTGGCTTCTATACAGTGAATCAAGAAACCTCAGTTCTAGTTCTGCTCCCCCATAAGTGTATGACGGCAAATACCATTTATCTGATTTACTTTTTCTTTGAAATACCACAATTATCATGCTTTCAATTTTGTGTTGCTTCTCTCCCAGATTGAAAGATACTTGTGTGGGGACTCTGTATTCAGAGATGTATCTCCATCTAGCACCTTACTCAATAGTCACTGAATAAACGTGTATTTCATATGTTAATTGAGGCAGTTGTACTTAATTTCCCATGTCCTATCTTTTTCTGTGGCATATATGAATTCGCAATACCAAAGCTCCATTACTTTTTTCCCTTCATTTTAATTCTAGCCTTTTATTGCTCATCAGCACTCTTTCCATCTAAAGACACGTCCTAATCCAACATGAAAATAAAGCAGTATAATCAGTTAGAGTGGGAGCAGGTTTAAACAGGAAAAGCTCTGAAGAAGTGATATGGAGTTTGCTTTTGAAACCAATTCCTAAAGTTACAGCTTGCATCAAATACTGTAATTTTCAAATAGAACTGGGAGTGTGCCTTGGTGGTACAGCACATCTAATGGACTCCCTAGGTTCCCTCCCCAGTACCATCGAAAAAAAAAAAAAAAAAGTAAAGGCAAATCAAACTTAAGAACAATCTCTAGGGGCCAGGGATTTAGCTCAGTGGTTTCACTGCCTGCTGCGCAAGCACAAAGACCCGAGTTCAATCCCTGGTACCAAAAAAAAGACCAATCTCCAAATGGAGAATCTGATAATGTTCAAAATTATCAAAAATTAAAGCACAATGAAGTTTTGCTAATGTACCTACTAGTAAGCCCAAGAACATAATACACCTTTATATGGCATTGTGACAAAAGAACTGCAGCACCTCAGTGAGAAGAGCCACGGCCCTGCAGTTGAATATACAGGTAAGACATTTCTTTAAGGTAAATTAAATCCCATTATAATTGCATCCTGTTGCAATGAAAATCTTGACTTATTCTGGAAGACCACTTAATTTTTTCAGCAACATATATAACCTGACAAATGCAATGAAGTAATAATTGACAATGCCTTAAAATGTGAGTTAAATCAGTTATTGGATAATGGAGATAACCTCAATAAAATATTTTCATACTTTGCTTATTAGATGAAATATAAAACTCAACTGGAAAGGCAGATCAAAGAATTGTGCTTTTTCCTTGAACCAGACTTGCATAATGAGATGAGTATATACTAATTGGAGAAGTATTTAATTCATTTTCCTTTCAATGTATGTTTCATGCTACCCATTTCGTTACAATCCTTACATCTGTGCCTCTATTTCTTTTAAGTACAAGATAATACCAGTCATTCTTTAAAATAATTTTCTATTAACTGTAAAAGTACACTCTGATAAGAACTGTGAAAAATCATTTTCTTTTAGAAAAACATCAAATATTCAGGGAACTTTATTTTTAAATGATAAATCAGACACAGCTCTCATTTACCCAAACATGCATAATTCAACCTGAATATAAAATGCACTCAATTGGTAAATTACATATGAAATACAAAGGGAATGAAATTTTACACATATGAAACGATTGCTGGTTATAGCAGTTTAACAGTCAAATTAATCAAAACATTGTATAGTTCAAAAAAAACCCTTAAAGCCAATTATCTATAGTAAACCAAGGGAAATTGTGATATGGAATGATTTGATTCAAAGCAAATAAGGCACCTGCTATAATTTTAGAAAAGTAACTTTCAGTTTTAGTTATAATACAATAGAATCAACCAGGACCTGTTTCAAAGAGAGAAACAAGAGATTTATTGGGTGAGAAAGACAGATTTAACAATTCAGTTAAAAAAAAAACCCTGCTGGCCCAAAGTCAGCTGATTCCTTTCCTATTTGAGCCGGTAAGTTCCTAAACATTGTCCTTACACTCTTTTACTTTCTGTATTTGAGAGTACTGGAAGTCCCCTATGAGGTTTACATGGTATATAGACTAGGTAGCAGATTTCCCTTCTGTTCCTTTAAAAAGCTTATTTAAAAAACATATCCTGAGGCAATTAACAAAGCAAACAAGCAGCCTTGTTCCAATTCTTTTTTTTTTTTGGTACCAGGGATGGAACTCGGGTCGTTGCACTTGCAAGGAAGGCGGCAGAACCACTGAATCCCCAGCCCATTCCAATTCTTAATAGACACTGCTCAGGCTTCTTGCACTAAGTTATGCTAAGTATATTATAGCCAATATTTGCAGTTTTCAACAAACTTGCGTATTAGAAAACCCAAAACCTACCTTATCACCCTCGCCCCCTATTAGTAAAAAGAAAATCTGATCAATCATAATCTATAAAATCATACAAGGGAAGACCAAAAACTGATCACTATCAATAAATCCATTTAATTCCAAATGCCACTTTAGTCTGATGTATCTAGTACCCTAAGGGAATTTCAATCATAAACACAGAAAAAGCATTTCCAAATTAACTTCCAATTCCATAACTTATTGGTTGATATACTTTGTTTTGTTTTGGTATTAAGTCTACTAACACGCTGTCTTATAGCACACTGGACTCAACGGTATGTGTTGATGAAGCATCCATTTCTAGTATTTTTTCCCAAAATTTTGTCTAAAGTAGTAAATTCCTTTGATATATTAAAATAATTCTGGTGAAATCAATGTGACATAAACAAGCCTTCCCTGCCTTCACTCCATCGTGGTATCTTTTAGTGAAACCACAGTAACTGCTTAAGTTACAAAATGCTCAACCAAATTTTTTTTTTTCAAATGGGATCTGAGGTTACTATACTCATGCATGCAAAATTCAAGGTAGTGTAACAGAAATAACATTAAAGTAGATGTAGCTATAAGCATCTCTACTTACATTATGCATTTCGCTTTTAAAAATTTTAGGTGCTAATGGTTGTGGCAAAACTAGGCTGTGTAGTTCTTCCATTTATATATAAGCACCTTATTACAGGATAGTTACATGGCCCTACAATACAGTGTGCTTTCAATTCAAGAGTAATGAAGTGCCTAGCTATACAAAAACCTTAGGATTCCAAATTTCAAATAAGCTAATTGCATTTACACATTAGGGTTAATAAAATCTAGACCCTGTGTACACAGATTTAATCTAATTATCCATGCTGTATACTGTTTTAATAATCACATAAAAAATTTATTCTTTACTGGCTGAATAAGGGTCTGCTACTATAGCTTAACAATCAAATTTTATTGCTTTATTTATGTGGTGCTTTTGCAAGGCACTGTGGTATGGATTAGAAAATCTGGAATGACTTGTGAAGAAACCTTGGAATGACACATGAAGGATGATTTGAAAGTCATTCTGAGGCAGGATAATTTACTGAATTGTTTTTAACCAGAGTATCAAACATCAGGAATGAGTTCAAGTTAAAATTCACAGGAGAATGGAAACATCTTAAGGTCAGTCACTTCACATGCCCATCCTGATACTTTGAATAATCTGGAAAATTGCTGTAAAGAAAAAGAACAAATATTAAAATAAGCTTTGAATAAAATAGGTCTGATGACTGAAAAATATCTATTAAGGTAATCAGTTGAAGAATCTAAAATTATTCTTATCATCATTTGCAAATACTACCTACCTTCAGTATAAGTGAAGACAAGCCTATCTTAATAAATAAAACAATTAATGCCCATAAGTAGTTATTGTTGTTTCTGTATTATTAATTATTATTACTATTATTTTGTGATGCTAGGGACTGAACCCAAAGGCTCAAACATGGTAGGGAAGTCCTCTACCACTGAACTACATGCCCAGATCAAGTTATTATTTTTTAATCTCAGCTTTTCTAAATTTTATGTGTGTCCAAAAGAATTTGCAGATAGGGAAGAACTTAAGCACCAAAGCAAACAGGCTTTTCTAGCACACAAGTATTTTGGTTTATCCCTAAATAATTAAGCATCCTTTTAAGGCCTGGCCTATAATATATGCATATTTCCTCATTCTCACAAAGCTGAAATTCAGTAATCTCTGGGTTATATAAACTGCTTGGCTTTTAGCCATTTATCAGGCAAGCTTCCAACTGACAGGTTTAGGAGGAAGGCAAAGAAACCTTAAATAGAAGTCTTAGTAACTTTAGAATATGGAAAACAGGATCATCATCTACTTCAATATTAACATCTTGTATATTAAGAATGATAAATAGCCGGGGATTTAGCTCAGTGGTTCCACGGCCTGCCTGGCAAGCTCAAGGTCCTGAGTTCGATTCCCAGTACCAAAAAAAAAAAAATGATAAAGAGAAGAAAGACATTCTGTAATATATTTCCAGAACCAAGAGCAGAGGCATTGGTGGTATAATGGTTAGCATAGCTGCCTTCCAGAAGCAAGAATCTGTTACCGTAACAGCATCCTGCCCTGATAACTAATTTTTCTTACCATATGTCAAACATTCCTTTTAATCTAAAAACATTTGTCTCACACATTAAATTGCCCAATAGATACACTTCCTCTATAGGGAATTCTCTGTGCTGGCTAAACTTTCTAAAATATACCCAATGTTTGCCATTAAAGATGTTAGACTGTGATACAGTTAAAATTCTAACTGTCCATATGTACGGTACATGATGTCCATAAGTTTCTCTGCAAAGGCACTGATAATGGGGTTGCAAGACATTCTAAATTCTCATTTCGAGCCCCTCGCCCCGCAACCTGATCATTACCAAAGATCTGACCTCTTTTCTGATCTCCTGTGAGCACAAATCAAGCTGGGAGAAGTTTCTGGAGCACCACCCTCTGTGTTTATGTGGGACAAGTATTTGGTTCAGAAGAAACATTATTGCGTGGTGCTCTGAGCAGGTGGGCTGAGAACTCCACAAGCAGGGCTCTCCACTGATCCGTCAACACGTCAACCCAAACTTTTCACCAACACCCTACTTAATAGGAGCCCCCACCCCCCCAAATACTTACCAGAGCCACAAACAACAAAAATGAAAAGAGCCAGTAACCAGGGTCCTACAGACGCCTTCTCTTCGGGGGCATTTCTCTGCAGAAGGGAAAATCCAGTTTCAGTGGCAGAGAAACCACTCGGACCCGGCTCCCACCACCGGCTGCGCCCGGGCCAGGTCACCGGGCGCTTGCCCTCCCTCCCTCATAGGTGTCCCGCCCGGTCCTGAGCCCTCAACTTAGCATCTCACTCGGTCCCGGGAGCTCAGAGTCGGTCGAGTCTGGGGAGAACTCGACGGGCCTCGGGGAGCGGACTTCAGCCCCGGCTGCGAAACGGTGAGAAGCGCCTGCTTTCTCCTTACCGAGGTCTTGGCGACGTTGCCGCGCTGGGTGATGTTCTTGCTGTGCTTCTCGTTGGCCATACGGATCCGCTGCTTGGCGACCATCTTCGCGGCTCTACCACCTGCCCCGGCCGCGCTCGGACTTGCTCGCTGCGAGGTTCCGCTCCTGGTTCCCACGCCGCTGGGGGCTCTCGGCCCAGGCGTTGACTACGGCCGCTGGGCCTGGACGTGACTAGCGCGGGGACTGAGCACCAGAGGGGCGCGGACCCCCGACCGACGGCAACGGACTGACCGACTCAGCGAGGCGGGCGCACTGGAGGAAGAGAGCCGGCCTGCGGGACGCTCTCGCGCCGCCGCTCTGGGCACCGCTGGGAGCGTGGACTGAGAGAGGAGGAAAAGCAAGCGCCGGACAGTGCCGCCGTTACCTCGAACTACTTCGGGTTCGGCTGCCAACGTCAGCACTGAGGAGACTCCGCCCCGCGGAAGTCCAGACTCCGCCCGGCGGAGAGAGAGGACTAGAGCAGGCTCACCCACCCTAGCCCAACCCTCGCAGCTCGGTGAAGCGACTCCCCAGAACTGCGCATGCGCGATCTACAACAGGAAGTGAATGGCCCCCAGGCTGCTGGCCCCGGAAACACCAACTCGCACTCTGCTTGACTGAGGAGACGTGTAGGGGCCGGGTTCGGCCCTCGTTGAACTTTCACCTGAGCGCATGGGTTTCTTTTTCCGGGACAAGATGGCGCCGTCCACGCCGCTTTTGACAGGTGAGTTCTGAACAAACAAGAGAATGCTCCTGCAGAGTACTCTATTTTGCGTCTTATCCCTTGAAAACGAGCCTTGGAGCCTGACCTGACTTTTCTTGTGGCTTGCAGAGGGACCAGACTTGGTTTTCTTGGTACAGCGTGGCAATCGGAAGTAAGGCCACATTCTCTGACATTCCTCCTCCCTTTACCCATCTATCATTCTTCCCTGCCCCTTTACAGGAATAGAAGGAGAACAGAAAGTAGTAATTGAATTTGTACTAGTCTGCAATACTGGTATTGCGTGGATCCTTGTGAAGTCATTTGGTTCTACGATATGGACAAAAAATAAGCATATGACATCACAATTCAAATACACCTGAACTTCAGACATTACAAATTCTCTACTTCCTGCCTTAATGAGATTTGTGGAACTGAACAGAGTGAGTGAAACTGTGATAGTGTAGGTTTCAAATGATGGTGTGGTTTGGGGTAGTGGCAGTGAGCATGATACTCCAGCAGCATTCGATAGTGAAATAATTGTGAGCATTTTAGAAGTAGAACAGTAAAAGACTGCTGGGATTTCAAAGATGAGATAGAGTTTGTAGAGTTGACGAAGATAAATTTAGTCTTGGAAAATGAATAGGAAGACGTTGGACTATGGTATGGGTATGGTCTTTGTATATGAGTATCCCATAAAGAGAGGGGAATTTGAAAGTCTTTGGTTGAGTCATGATAGCTTTATAGAAGGAAAGAAAAAAAATCATTAAAAAGTTGTCTACTTGAGACTTGAATTTTAGAAAGCTTTTCCATCTCTTGGCATTGTGTATTTTAAGATCCAGGCTCACGCCTGTTCAGACTACTATAGTTCATTCACCAAACATTTATCAAACTTTATAATCTACTAGGTAATATGCCAGGCTGAGACTATTTAAGCAGCAAAATTATATAATTAAGTACTTTCTCTAGATTCATAAAGGTAACTTACTTAGAATTGTTAATGCTAAATAGTAGAACTAGTAAAAGCTAGTACATTTTAGAATCTGGTAAATTTTTTTCTCTTTAAGATATTTCTGAAAGGGGAGAATATTTATAGTTATATTCCTCACAGTGTAAATTCCATCGTATTTAGCAGAGCGTATGAATCCCTTTACAATCTTCAAGTAGCTCTTAATATTAATTCCTTGTCTAGGCATCTTATTTTACCTTCACTACTGGCTTGTTTATAAATTCCTTTAAGCACTCTGTTATTCACCTTAGGACCATCCTATTTATTCCTTTTGTTGATTTAGCAAACCTCTTCATCGTTGAAATTAATTTCTGATATTGCTCTGTGAAGCCTGTTCTCATTCTTCCCAAATAGTCACTCCTCGATAATTTTTGTATCTCATGTATATCATTTTTTTCAATTATCACATGGGATAATTACCTAATTCTGATGGTTTTTTTCTCTTCTGCTAGACTCTAAGCTTCTTGAGTTTTAGATACTGCCTTCTCAGTACCTAGTCAGAACCCAGTAAACAATAAGCATTCTAAATGCTTAATGGAGGAATGAAGTAACAAAGAATAGCTCTTTACTCAGTGAAGGAGGACAGTTTATTTACAGTGCTTATCAGGTACTTTGTAAAATCTTAAAGGTCATCCTCTTCAGTTTTTCTCTCTTATCCTCATATTCTTAGAGTCTCATAGAGATTACTTCAGCAGATTCAGTGGCACTGCAAATAGGCGAGGCCAGGATTGTGTTCAGATCAACCCACTTGATGGTCCATTTTCTATCATTAAAATACAGTACTTAATCTTTTAAACATTCTCAGTTTAGATTATTTTTTACTTCCAAAATCTTTGGATAAATTTAGACTCATCGTATTATAGAACTGAATAATTTGGAGATCATCTATTAGCAACAAATTTTAATGGAAAATGATAAGCCAAAGTAGGTGAAAAAGTACAGTGGACCCTCAAGTTACGATTGGCCTGACATATGAATAACTTGGATTAATTAGGTTCATGGAAGATTCACATGCCTCTTGTTATCTGTAGCGTGTACCAAGGTTAACATCCAGATCTCAGCTGTATTGACTTACAACCAACTTAAGTTAAAACCAGCCCTTGGGAACTGATCGAATTTGTAAGTCAAGGGTCCATTGTATTTTTTCTTTAACTCGTGTAACCTAAAAGCTAGTTTTAGGTATTCACATGACTACAAAAATCTTTTTTTCTTCATCCCTAGCATCTTACCTCCCTCTTGATGAAATTCATTCTAGAGCTGACATTCGGCCAGCTCAGCAGCTGCAAAAGAAAGCTTTTTGCTTTTTTTTTTTTTTTGGGGGGGGGGTACCAGGGATCGAACTCAGAACCTTGCGCTTGTGAGGCAGCCAGCAGAACCACTGAGCTAAATCCCTAGCCAGCTTTTTTTTTTGTGGTACCGGGGATCGAAGTCGGGTCCTTGCGCTTGCGAGGTGGGCAGCAGAACCACTGAGTTAAATCGCTGGCCCCAAGAAAGCATTATTTTTGCCCAAGAAAAGTCAAGGTGTGCTATCTTTAGCTTGGCTTGGCTCTTACTCATCTTTGAATCAGAGTATTAGGATCAAGTTATATTCTCACCTCTAGATAGTTGAAGTCATTGAGATAATTTAATCAAAATTGAGTCATTTTCCTAAATTGATATGTAGTTCAGCAAACAGAGTTTTTAAAAGTATATTTTAAAAATCATTATAGTATATATTTAACATAGGACATTTGCTTGTTGAAGCCCAGTGTGTTTCTCATTCTAACTCAGGCCTGAAGCAATAAGTAGTATTTGAGTCTCTGAAAAGGCTGGTATATTTAGAAATGATATTATGTACATACGATATTTAATGTAATTATTGTTTTTAAACAGTTACTATGTGAAACTAGAATTTATATAAGAACTCTTTGAATTCTATATTTTCTTCTACTAAAAGGTATCACTGGTCCTCTGATTGATTAAATGACTAAATCGTCAAAAACAGAATCACACCAAATATGAATACACTATAAAGTTAATTTCACATTCTACTCACTATCACATTCAGACACTTCTAATTAAAATGGGTCCCTTATTACAAAGTTGCATGTAGAAAAGATTGTTGAGTCCAAGTTTATTTTTGCTTTTATTAACTTGTAACATGGTTTATGTTGTTATGAACTTGATTTTTAATTTTTCCTACTAAACTTTATATCCGTTTATTCAAATTTGTATGAGGAAATTACTCAGATTGATTATTTCATCCAGTAGAGATCAAAAAGGACCTGTAGTACTTTCTCCTATTTAAGGTTCAATTTAGGGAAATATGAAACAAAGTAGTTTTAAATAGTGATTTATGTATATGAATAAAACTATAATGACCCAATATGATTGTTGTTATGAATTCTTTTGTAAAGCATTTTGTACAAAGAACAGTGTCTAATTTAATGAAGGACCTGCAGTATCATCACTCTTTTAGAATATTTTTACCTTGGTACAAAAATCTTGCTTTATTCAATATTTGATTATAACACCGTTGTCCAGTATCCCCAAGCAAAAAAAACTTTGAATTGATTTAATTTCTTTCTATGTTGTGAACAAAGTATTATTACCAAACACCATGACTTTAAAAAAAACAAACTTTATTTTGATACAATTTAAGACTCATAGTGATGAGGATTAGGGAGGAAAAGGGACCTTTATATGCTGTTGGTGGGAATGTAAATTAGTATAACTACTATGGAAATCAATATGGAGGTAGCTCAAAAAACTAAAAATAGAGCTACCATATGATCCAGTCGTACCACTCCGTGCTATATACCTGAAAGAATAAGTATACTGTAAAAGATGTCTGCACACTGATGGTTATTATAGTATAATTCACTATAACCATGGAATCAGCCTAGGTGTATGTCAGAGATGAATGGATAATGAAAATCGTCTGTATGCACAATGGAGAATTATGCAGCCATAAAGAACAACATATGGCATTATTAGAAAAATGGATAGAACCCTAGTTCATGTTAAGCAAAATAAACCAGACTCAGAAAGACAAGTATTGCATATTACATGGAATCTAGAACAAAAAAGATGACATGAATGTAGAAGGGAAGACTGTTAGACAAGAGGAGGAATACTAGGGGAAGGAAGAAGGGAGAATAAGGAAAGGTTATGAAGGGAGGGATATGATCAAAGTGTTACATGCATGTATGAAAATACCACAGTGTCCAGCCATGGTAATGCACTCCTTTAATCCCAGCACAGGGCAGGCTGAGAGGCAGGAGGATCACTGCAAGTTCAAGGCCAGCCTGGGCTGCATAGCAAGTTCAAGACCAGAAAAGGAAGGAAGGAAGGGAGGAAGGAAGGAGGCAGGCAGGCACAATGAAACCCCAAATTCCAATTAATATGCACTAATTGTGTATGTTTGTGTATAGTGTGGGGAAAGGCTCACAGAAGTTGCAAAAATAACAAGTAGAGCTCTATGTACTTTTCACCCAGCTTTCCCCAATGATAGTAACTTATACAGTACTGTATAACCATGGTATATTGTCAAAACCAGGAAATTGATACTGGTACAGTAGTATTTACTAAACTACATTCCTTGTTCAGATTTCACATGTATGTCATATATATATGTATATATTAAACTACATATTTTATTATGTTATGTATAGTTTATAATAAACTATATATAAATATAGTTACTAAGAAATTTTATTACATGTATAGATTCATAGAACCAGTACTATCAGAATGTAGAACTGTTCCTCACCTAGACACTATTGTGCTATCCTTTTATAGTATGGTCTTTCTTCCAACTCTAATCCTTGACAATTACCAATCTGTTCTGTATCATGATAATTTTATCATTTCAAGAATGTTGTATAAATTTATAGAAAATATAACCTTTGGATTTATTTAGAATATGAACATACACATGTTGAAAAGCTGTTGATTAATTGACTCAAGATTTTCCTTCCTCAGAAACATACTAAAACCAAGAATTGGAAACCAAAGAAGACTTTGAATGATACTTGAACAGAAAAGACATGGCACTCTTCACACAGACTTTTAAAATGCCAAGTGTTGACTTCTAAGTTTTTGAATTAATAGTCTGCATGAAAGAGTATAGATGAAATATTTTTATTTCTCTCACTATTCCTTTGGGGTTTTTCTCCTGTCTTAGGAGGAGCTTTGGGGCAAAGGTCTGAAATACAAATTTTAGAATGGGAAAACTTTTTACTGTTTACCCTGAGAATTCCCATTGATATAATGAGAAAGACTACCTTTATGAATTTTGGAGTATAGTGCAGTTAGGGTAATAGAACAGTTTGATTGCATTAGCCTTTTCTAATTATATTGGGACTGCACTGATAATGCAGCATTTTGCTGTCCTAGATCTATATATGAATTCTGAAAGAGCTCTTACTGTGTTGGATTGCACTACAGTTTGTGAGAAATGTTACTATACTGACAAAATGTTATGTAATGTGGGAATAATGTGTACTGTAACTTGGTCATAATAAACTCCCTAATTTGAGAAATTCGTTTTTATTAATTCTCCAAATGTTTTTTAAAACTTTTAGTATTATGAATGGCCTATTCTCTTCTAAATTCTAATGTATCATATGTAATATTGCATCAGATCATTGATTTGGTGATGAGAAATCTCACTGCTTTGTGCAGTAAGAAAACTTTAAAGAATTAAACTTCAGAGTTGGGGATGTAGCTTAGTGGTAGAGTTTGCTTAGGTTAGCATGGCTAAAGCCCTTCGTTCAGTCCAAAGCACCACCATAAATAAATAAAATGACTTTATGGTTTTTTAAATCTTGTTTTGTTTTGTTTTGTTTTGTTTGGTACCAGGGATCGAACTTGGGTCCTTGTGCTTGCAAGGCAAGCAACAGAACCACTGAGCTAAATCCCTGGCCCTGTTTTTTTAAATCTTGGAAAATGTTTATCTTGAAGGCAGTGATGGATTTTTTGTTTGTTTGTTTGGGTTTTTTTGTGTGTGTGTGTTTTTTTGGTACCCGGGATCGAACTCGAGTCCTTGTGCTTGCACAGCAAGCGGCGAAACCACTGAGCTAAATCCCCGGCCCCGATTTTTTTTTTTTAAATCTCTAATGCCTAGCACATGGTAGAGCTATGTATGGACCAGATCACATAAAGTCCTGTAAGCTATAGTGTAAGGAGTTTGGTTTTTGAAATACATAGTGGTTTTCTGGGCTCTATTCTAGGCCAAACTGCCCATAAGGACAACTGTTTTTGGAAAATAGTTCCATCTAGTATACTACATTTGAGAAAAATACAGCATCCGGTGCTGTACTTGTGGATGTCTAACAAGAAATTCATTGTTCAGTTACATGTGTTTACTTTTTTTAATCTTGCCACCAAACTGGTAGCTCCATGAAGGCGTAGATTTTGTCTGTTCATTAGCGGTTCTTTTATTTTTGTTGTAACTTTAGATTATTTACTGTACTTTGGGACCATCAGGGTACCTGAAATGTGAGCTACTTAATTCTTAGGTAGAATATCAGTCTTCTGATAACTGTCTCTTGACTGTTCTGAGAAGAGAAAGAAAATAGGGATTAGAATTAGGGCCAAGACTAGCCCCATCTACCAATTTTGCTGATTTTCCAATAACCAAGAGAAGAGTGAGTGATTTGTGAATAACTACCAGAAGAGGAACCAGATACAATATTAGCCACAGACCTCAGTAAAACTTCTTCAGCTTCTATACAGTGGTGCTAACAAGAGTTCTAGCTTATAAAATAGCAACTCATCACCAAGTCTTGTTAGTTTTTTCTCCTCAATATTATGTATTCATTACCCAATTTTCATCTCTATTGCCCCATACTATTCCAATTTTCTGTTATCTCTGATGAGATTATTGCAGAAGCATTTTAAAAAGTTTCTCCACATCCATTCTTAATCCCTTTCACTGAATTTTCTATGCTGTATGAGATTGACCTTTTCAAAATTCAAGTCTGGATTCAACAATCTGTCTAAAACACTTGAGGTTTCCCAGCATCCTTCAGATAGAGACCAACATTGCTTAACTTAGATTTCAGTATTCTTGGTCTGAGCCTTGTTTTCTTTTCCAGGTTCATCTTCCAGCTACACAGGCCTTCTTTCCATTCTCTGATGCTGTCAGTTCTCTTGCCATGGAGTTTTTGGAATTACTGCTGTTCTCTTTGCTTATTAACTACTACTCATCTTCCCAATCTCAGCTTAAAAGTCATTCATGGAGACTTTCCCTGTTATAGTTTATATCTAAAATGTTCCCCCAAAGCCTCATGTGCTCCCAGGGAGCTCTTTGGGGAGCAACTGGCTCATGAGTGTGTGGTACTGGGTTAGTCTGCTGATTGGATTAGCACAATCCTGGGTGTGAGTAGCACCAACCAATAGGCTTGTAGCCTAAATGGAATAAAAAGGGAAGGGGAGGCTTGTCGCTGCTACTTCCTGCTTGCCTTGCCATGAACTGTTTCTCTTTTGCCATGCATCTCTGCCATGCCACCCTGCCTTGGAGCCAGTCAACTAGGCTGAATCCTCTACAAACTGTGAGCTGAAATAAACCTTTCCTCTTAACTTGTGGGTGTTGGGTATTTTGTTCCAGCAACAAGAAAGTAAGACACTGACCTATTTTTATGTCAACTTCCTATCATGTACTCTATAGCACCATATATCTTCCTTTGTAGTACTAAATTTAATTATATAATTCCATATATTTGGTTATTTGATTACTATAAAGCTGGGTGTGGTGATGCGCACTTGTAATCCCAGCACTTGGTAGGCTGAGGCAGGAGGATTGCCACAAGTTTGAGGCCAGCCTGTCCTACAAAGTGAAGCCCTATCTCAAAAAGCCAAGAAAGAAAAAAAAAATCTGATTTGATCTGTGTGCTGAGTTAATGAGATCAGGTACAAGACTGATTTTCCTACCGGTTGTATTTCCACTGCTTAATGTACAACAGGACCTAGGATTTAGGTGTCCCTGCATCTCTCTATAAACATTAGTTGAATGAATGAATCAATTTATTTGGGTCAGTTTTAGGTACATCCAATTCAGGCATTTAAAAGAGTATTGTTAATGACCCAAGTATTTTATTTATTTAACTGTGAACTTTGTTCTCACTTAATTTTTTAGAAATTGCTACATTAGGGGCTTAGTAAATAAAATGTATCGTTGTACTTGGTCTCTTAGAAAGTGTAAATATATTAATATCTTGTGTTTTAAATAATATTAAATACATGCTGTATGTTCATGGATTTTAAATAAAGCATACAGATATCCTGTGTTCCAGTATTTCTCTTACAGATTAGGGCAGCGATCAGAGATAGTGATGCTTTCAAGGTTTCACAGCCAGTTATGAACCTAGGACTGCCATTGAGTTTATATCCTTTCAGCTACATTGTAAATACCTTCGTATTGCCTATGACAGTGAAAGTTTCAAAGTTTTTATTCATTTATTTATTTTTTCTTTAAAAAATTTTTTATTAGTACGTTTGTGGTACATAATGATTACATTCATAGTGGGGGTTGGTACATGTGCATAACACATCTTGTTTTTCTTCTTCTCACTCCCTCCACCTCTTGGTCCTTTTCCCATTATAAAAGATCTACCTGTTTCCTATGATCTGTCTTTCATTTTGTTACTTGACTTACTTATATTTTGGGTTTCTCATGTAAGAGAACCCATTTGATATTTAAGCTTTTACATCTGATTTATTTCACTTAACATTGTGGTCTCAAGAAGCATCCATTTCCTATAAAGGAATCGAATTTATTCTTCTTAATAGCAGAGTAGGACTTCATTTTAAACAAATGCTACATTTTCTTTTTTCTTCTGGTTTTTTGAGACAAGGCCTTACTTTCTGAGTGCAGGCTGACATTTACTATGTAGCCCAGGCTGGTCTTGAACTTGCAGCAATCCTTCTACCTCAGACTCCCAAGTGCTGGGATTACAGATGTGTGCCTTCTCACCCATCAGATATATTTTCTTTATCCATTCATGTATTGGTGAATATATAGGCAGGCCACTTCCAAGAGTTAGCTATTGTGAATTATGCTGTTTTAAACATGAGTATCACTGTAATATGGTATCTTTAACTTTCAGGAAGATACATAGAAGGGGAATAGCTAGGTTGAAATGCAATTTCTACTTTTAGGTTATTGAGGAATCTCCATACTGATTTTCATAATGGTTGTACTCATTTACACCCCCACCACCAATGTACAGGGTTCCTTTTTCCCTGAAGCTTCACCAGCATTTATTATTTACTTCTTGATGGTTGCCATTCTTCCTGGAGTAAGATGAAATCTATGTTGTTTTAATTTGTATTTCTCTAATGGTCGGGTGTTGAGCTTTTTTTTTTTCATGTCTTTATTGGACACGTACTTCAGAGAAGTTTCTATTCATTTCAGTTGCCCATTTTTTAACTGGGTTTTGGGGGGAGCTAATTTTTTTGAGTTCTTTATATATTCTAGATACTAGTTTTTGAGGAGTAGCTGGCAAAAAATTTTTCCCATTCTGTGTGTTCATTCTGTTGGTTATTTGCTTTGCTATGCAGAAGCTTTTTAATTTGATATGATCCCATTTGTTGATTCTTGAGCAATTGAAGTTCAGTTCAGAAAGTCCTTGCATATGCCTATGTCTCCAAGAGTTTTGCCTGTTTTATCTTCCAGCAGATTATTTTGGTTTTAATACTTACATCTTTGAACCATTTTGGTTTTAGTTTGATATAGTGAGAGGCATGTGAATAACCAGTTTTCCTAGCACTGCTTGCTAGAGAGGCCATCTTTCCTCCAGCATGGTTTTTTTTTTTTTTTTTTGCCTGTCAGTCTTGAATCTCCCTGCTTTCTGCATTCCCCAGCTAGGAAATGTTGAGGACTGCTGTGAGAGCTCATCCACAATTGGGTGTAGCATGCTGAATGTCCCACAAAACACAGGACTCCCATTTGTATGTAGAGCGATGGGCCACTTTAATTTTTTTCCCTGTTGGACAAGCCTTCTCATAATCCCAACACTTGCGAGAGCTGTAGCACTATAGTTTACTGGACCTGGTGTTTTGTTCTACCACGTTATCCTGCTTTTCACTTGTCTGAATTAGGGGGTTGCTTGTGTGTCACTTGCTGTGGCCTGTGGAATAGAGTAATTGCAAGTCTATTCCATCAGCCAGGTGATCACTGAAGGGCTGTCTCCCTCCCTCAGTCCTATCCTCTCCCAAGGTGGTGGAGTATATGAAAGTGTTATGATCCAGAAGCAGTCCTCTTTCTTGTCACACACCTCCTAAACACTGGATTTTATTCCAGCTGGATTTTCTTTTCATTTATCCTCTTGATTCAGACTTTACCTTTTGCCCTCAGCCCTCACCCTCAGGGTACTTGAGACACTCACCCTTGCTGTTGCCCCCTAGGTAGCCATCTCCTCCTTATTTTTTCTTTTCTGTGGTAATGAGGATCAAATCCAGGAGCATTCTACCTCTGAGCTCTGTACTCAGCCTTATTTACTTATTTGTTTGTTTGTTTATTTATTTTCTAGTGCTGGGGATCAAACACAGGACCCTGCACTTGCCAGGCAGGCACAGGCACCACTGAGCTACATCCCCCGCCTCTGCATTTTAAAATTTTGAGCCTAGGTCTTTCTAAGTTGTCCAGATTGGCCTCAAACTTGTGATCCTCCTGCTTCAGCCTCCCAAGTAGGTGGGATTACAGGTGTGACCTATTTTTATTTATAAAAGTTACTTATTTTAGGGCCAGGGATTTAGCTCAGTGGTTTCGCCGCCTGCTGTGCAAGCACAAGGACCTGAGTTCAATCCCTGGTACCAAAAAGAAAGTTACTTATTTTTCAGGAGTGATAATCTTTTATGTAATGGATAAGAAAGTATGCCCTTTTAATGCCAACATTCTATGGTACAGTGAAATGTATAATGATTTCATTAACATTTTGAAAGTTTTTTGTGAAATATAAACTGAGCTTTTGCTAGCTAAATAATTGTGGTTCTTTCCATTATATTTCTTTAGTCCGGGGATCAGAAGGACTATACATGGTGAATGGCCCACCACACTTTACAGAAAGCACAGTATTTCCAAGGTATGGTTTATTTTGTTAAGTGCCATTATAGGAAATATAAGTACATTATAAATTGTTTTTATTGTTGGTGTATTTTGAAAACAAAGTAAAAAATAAGCTTGGTTCTTAGGACATTTTTTTTTTTAACATGTGTCTGATTTATTTCACTTAAGAGTATGGTCTCAGGGTCCATCCATGTAGCTATAAATGTCTGAAGCTCATCCTTTATGACAGAGAAGTACTCCATTGTATACAAAAAAACCCCACTCATCAGTTGATGGCCATGTGGGCTATTTCCAAGATTTAGCTATTAGAAACTGTGCCACTATAAAATGAGTGTGCGTATATCGCTGTGGTATGATGCTTTTAATTGTTTCAGGAAAGATAGCAAGAAAAGGAATAGCTGGGTCGAATGGAACCTCTAGTTTTAATTTTTTGAGGAATCTCCACATTGATTTCCACAGTGGTTGCACAATTCTACACTCTCACCAACAGTGGAGAAGGGTTCCTTTTTGCCCACAGCTCTACGAGCATTTGTTATTAGTTGATTTCTTGATAGCAGCCATTCTTTCTGGAGTGAGACGGAATCTCAGAGTTGTTTTAATTTGCATTTCAGGAATGGTCAGTGATGCTGAACATATTTTCATATATTTGCCGTTTCAAATTCTTCGCCTGAGAAGTGTCTTCATTTCAGATGCCCATTTTTGTATTGAGTCTTTAAATTTGGGGGGTCTGATTTTTTTTAGTTCTATATATATATATGTTCTAGATAAAAGTCCTTTATCTGATGATGAAATGCTGGTAAAAAGTTTTTCCCACACTATGGGTTGTCTCTTCACTCTGTTGGTAGCTTCTCTTGCTGTGCAAAAGCTTTTTAATAAGATGAGGTCCCAGTTGTTGATTCTTTGTAGTATTTCTCACGAAGTCTGGGTTTTGTTCATGAAGTCTTTGCCTACTCCTGTTGTCAAGGGTTCTACCTATTCTCTCTTCCAGCAGATTTAGTGTTCTGGTTTTTTGTTTTAATATTTAGATCTTTGATCCATTTCAATTTTACGTTTGCTTTTTTTTTTTTTTTTGGTACTGGGGATCGAACTCAGGTCCTTGCGCTTGCACAACAGGCAGCAAAACCACTGAGCTAAGTCCCCAGCCCCATGCTATTTTTAATCACAGTAGCTTTGTAGTATAACTTAAAGTCAGGGATTGTGATAGCCCCTGCCTTGCCTTTCTTGTCCAGAATTACCTTTGTTATTCTAGGGCTCTTCTGGTTCCAAATGAATTTTAGGATTGTTTTTTCCAATTCTGTAAGAAGTGCTCCTTAGATCTAATCTGTGCTGAAAACTAGCAGGAGTCCTGATCCATGGGAACAGTCTTCTGTTGAAGTACAGTAATTAATTTCCAGCAGCACAAAAATAGAGCTGTGACCTTATACCCTTTTTCTTGAAATCTCTTTTATAATGACTTTACTACTTCTGGAAACTCTGGAAGAATTTGTTCTGCCTCCCTTCAAACCTCATTTTTTGTTTTCTCTTTCTGGCACCTAGAAAGCTCAGAGTTAAATCTATATTCTTCCAGGGAGAGGCTAAATAGATTCAGGCACTGCGTTGTCGCTGCACCTCCACATTTGCAGGGCCTCTTCTGTCCTTCACTCCCATCCACCGGGGTGGGGGGTGGCGCTTGCTGGGCCCCGTCAGGGAGGGGGAGGGAGGAAGGGAAGCCTTGCCCTTTCTCGCTCTCTGGACCCTCGGGCTGCTGCTCACTATCTCGGCCGCTGGACTCGGCCGCTGGACTCTGCCGCAGCTCCAGCTCCGTCTAGGAATACATATTCTTTATAAAGAAAATTATCTTCCAATTTGGACATAATTATATAAGCCCATTTAAAAAATGGAGGGAAATGATATTAAGGAAAAGTGTAGGCACTAGTGTAATTGAGTTCAGGCCTTTGGTTTGGAAGAGTTTTATCTAAAGGAATGAGAAAAACTTGGAAGTAATCTTCATGAAATCAGAAAATGAAAGTGGTATAAAGAAGGAAGTTAATAGACTACATGTGCGTAATACATAGATAAATAAATATATTTTTCCCAAAAAGAAACAATGGAAAGGTAAACCCAAAACTATCAAGATGACTACTTCACGGGAAGAAAATTACAGGATGTAAGACATATATCTGTGAATGAATTTTGGTATATATAGTTTTGGCTTTGGACCATGTAATTGTTTTCAATAATAAAATTAAATGGAAGACTGAAACAAATGACCCTACCTTTATATCAAGGCATAACCATATAAAGGAAGATATGTGAGATTTTTTTTTTATTGGTACATTTTAGGTGTACAATATAATGACATTCATCATTGGAGATTTGTACCTGTACATAATATATCTTGATTCTTATTTTTTCCCTATTCCCCTGCCCTCCCTTCAGCCCCTCCACCCCTCTCTATTTACAGACTTTGTTTCCATTTTTTCATCTTCTCATATTCCATTCCCTTCTTTGCCCTACCACTGGCATTTCCCCTTCCCCTTGGTACCTTTTCATCCTGTTTCACATTATCTATTATACATTTTGATCCTTATTTACATTTTCAGTTTCTCACACCAGAGAGAAACTATTCAGTATTTACACGTGCATTCTTTATGGCTGAGTAGTACTCCTTTTATTTTAAAAAAATGCATTTTCAGGGTCAGGGATTTAGCTCAGTGGTT